CAGAGTTGGAAGGGACCTTGTAGGTCATCTAGTCCAACCCCTCACCCAAGCAAGAGACCCTACACCATTTCTGATAGATGGCAGTCCAGTCTCTTCTTCTTCATCTCCAGGGGTGAAGCTCCCACAACTTCTGAGGCAACTTCTGTTCCATGGATTGATTGTTCTCCCTGTCGGGAAATCCCTCCTTATTTGGAGGTTGGATCTCTCCTGGATCAGTTTCCATCCATCATTCCTTGTCTGGCCTTTGTGTGCCTTGGCACAGAGCTAAACATGGCCTCCCTTCTCTCCCTCCCCAGTTGGGATCTTTGACATGTTAGCATCATGCTCAAGCCCTTCAGAAGAAAGAGAGACGGACGATTACTGTTTGGAGCATCTGCCACAAATTTAGCTCTAATTCACATTCTCCCACTTCAAAGAGGGACCTCCGTAGTACCAAATGCCAACATGCCAAGGGCTGTGATTTGTGCATGCACCCAGGATGGTACCTGCTCAGATCGTTCCTGGCTTTGCGGCATGATGTCAGATTTCCACGTTGGGATCTGTGAAGCCTTTCTTCCCCTCGTTCACCAGCACAGGTTTCTCGGTCCTTGTGTGCCAAACGAGAATCTGGATCAAAGAAGAAGGATTAGGAGGTCAATTCCTCGGTCTCCTTGCATACAACATACATTACCTTATTCAACTAAGGGCACACTACCTTGTTTCCCTGAAAATAATGACCTACCCTGAAAGTAAGTCCTAGCTTGATTTTTACACATGCACCCAATATAAGTTGTACCCCCAAAATAAGCCCTAATTAAGAGTGGACGGGTAAAAATTAAGCTAGGGTGGGGATGGAGGGGTAGAACTGCCCTACTACTTACCTTTGGACAGTTGTAGCCAAGCCTCGCACACCCCGACACCTGCCTTGCTGGTCCATTTCTTCTTCAGCCAGCAAGGATGGCTGGCAAGGCTTTCTTGAAGGCCTCTGGAGTGGATAACAAAGTTCTGGATTGAACCTGAGCTCTTTTACTGGCTGCAGAGGCCTTCAGCAAAGCCTTGCCGACTGCAAAAGAAGTTCCTGACAGTGAAAAGGAGGCCGGGGCGATGTGCGCAAGTGAGGTTAGCCAGTGGATGACTTCCCTCGAAAATAAGACCCGGTGCCTTTTTGGGTGGCAAAAAAAAAAATACAAGACAGGGTCTTATTTTTGGGAAAACATGGTAGCTATATTCCCCAAAGACAGATGGGGTGCCTCCAGTTGTTATAACAGATCGGAGAAGACTAAGATGGGGTTCCATAGACAAAAAAATAGTGATGGATCTCAAGATGTTCCTCCAGCATGCTTTTTGACCCAACTCCCATAATTTCAAGTGGTGGTTATGCCGCTGAAGAATTAGAAAAGTGATCAGGAATGTTTAAGAAAGGTACAGGTGATTTAATGCATCTCCTAGGAAAATCACTTAGCTACCCTTGGTTTTCTTTCAACGTATCGCCTGAGTTCATATTTACTAATTCTGACCATGCATTTCTGCAAACATGGCGATGTAGGTGCTTCCTTGCTCATTCCTGCTTTACTTTCATCCTGATAGAACAGAATATTTGTAGCTCAGGGTTGGGTATAAAATGAGACCAAACCTCACTCCCTTCTAGCACTGATGATGATACCTAGTTTGGTAATGAAACGTCTGCAAGAAAAACAATCACGCTCCGAGAGGATCAAGGACTCCAGAGTTGCCTTTCATCCTGCCCAGCCTTTTTTTTCCTATTTTCTAAGAGTATAAAACAAGCACTTTATTTTTATTTTTAAAGGAGGGAATCTACGCGAGGCCAAGCGATCCATAATTATCTGAAGGTTTCATTGTTGCACGCATCATACTAAGCCATAATGTGGTAATTTGGCACAGGATGTGGTGGAAATGCAGAATATGGCTCTTTGCAAGCCATCACTCAATCACAGTCTTGTTAAAAAGGGACACAATTAAACAATGCATTGCCTAAAGAAAAGTGTGAGCCTCAATATGTTTTATTCTTCTGATGAAATTGAATCAAAGCTCCCTTTATCTCTACTCCAGCTCACCTGGTCACACTATGCAAGAAACAGGAAGATTACCAGGGTAAGGAAATAAAATAAAAACATACGAATACATACTCCCGTCACCAGGAGACCAGCAAATCTTCCCAGTGGATTGATTCCTCAGCCCCATTCAGCCGTCCTTCAAACGTGGTTTCCAAACCACGTTCCAAACCACATTTCCCCCCAAAAAAGGACTACCCTTGGTTTTCTTTCAGCGTATTGCCTGAGGTCATATTTACTAATTGTGACTGATGCATTTCTGCAAACACAGCGATGTAGGCGCTTCCTTGCTCGTTCCTGCTTTGCTTTCACCCTGATGGAAGAGGATATTTGTAGCTCTGCATTGGATATAAAATGATTTGCAACTTGTGAACCAGCAAAGCCGATGCATCTCCTTAAAGCCTGATTCTCACAGCTTCCTGGCTGCTTGCCACCTGGGCAACTTTGAAGACTTGTGGACTTCAACTCCCAGCCAGCCATGCAACCCCAGGTATGAAAAGACCTTTTTTTTAAAAAAAAAAAAAAAAAAGGACCATGCCACGCCGTGCCAACATTTCTTACACCTGAAGCACTTGCAGTATGGTGGATCACACAATCCGATTAATCCCTACTGCTATTTTAATTACACTCACACCTATGGGCCTCTGGCATCACATGCTGCCTCTCCAATTATGGGAACCTTAGTTATTAAAACAGAAGGAAGATAATAGTGAGCTCTCCAACAAGCTGTCACGTCTAAATCTGTTCGGAGTTTTGCAACGTTAATTCAGCGCCCCCGCAAAAAAACAACACATAGATGGCTGATGCTTCATTTAACACCTTTATAAACGTAATAAGCAGATTTTACAAACCAGTTGTAGATTTCTCCAACATGGAGCAAACTCAGCCAGAAACACGTTGCAAGTTCAGAGCAGAGCTCCAGTCTTCAGCAAGCAAGCGAGTTAGTTTCTCTTTTACTTTAGTTCAGCAGGCAAGCAAGAGGAGAGAAGCGGTTTCATTTTCAATAAACAGACTCGGAGCTCAACATGGCTGCAGAGTGGCAGAGCTTAATATAGAGCAGGGGTGTCCAACCTTGGCAACTTTAAGCCTGGAGGACTTCAACTCCCAGAATGCCCCAGCCAGCCCTCCAGGCTTAAAGTTGCCAAGGCTGGACACCCCTGATATAGAGCCACGCCTAAGCTGCTTCTAGTTTCAGTTTCCAGCCTAGGCTGTTTCTAGTTTCAGTTTCCAAACTGTCATCGTTGGCTGATTTAATTGCTATGCCTATTCATTGGCTGACCTTGTTACCAAGCTCTATTCCAGTTCATGAATATACTCTGACAAAATCATTTCCGGGCTGCCAAAATCAGGGGCCAAAACCAAAATGACCTCGATTTCAAAAAAGAGAGAGAGAGAGAAAGAGAGAAGAGGGGTGAATCAAAATCACTGGAAGCTTTAAAGAAGAGACTAGACTGCCATTTCTCAGAAAGGGTGCAGGGCAGGGGTGTCAAACACAAGGCTCACGGGCCGGATCTAGGCCGCAGGGTGTTTAGATCTGCCCCTTTGGGCCACCCTGGAAACAGCAAAGGACTGGCCCTGGGTGCCTCTGCCAGTGGAAACAGGGCCCCGAGGGGCTGGCAGAGGGCTATCAAAACAAACTAAAAAGAAAGTAAAAGGAGAAATGTCCCCCCCTTTTGCATTTGAGCATGCAAGGAGGGACAGGATGGGAGATAGGGAAAGAGGAAAGAGAAAGAAACAGAAGGGAAGATGGGAAGAGAGCCAGGAAGGAAAAATAAGGAAAGAGGCGAAGGAAGAAGAAAGGAGAAGGAAAAGGAAAGGAAAGGAAGGGAAGGGAGAGAAGAGGAGAAAGGGGAAGAGGAAAGACAAAGAAAAATAAGGAAAGAGAGGAAGGAAGAAAAAAGGAGAAGAAAGAGGGAAGGGAAGGGAGGGAAGGGAAGGGAGAGGAGAGGAGAAAGGGAAAGACAAAGAAAAATAAGGAAAGAGAGGAAGGAAGAAAAAAGGAGAAGAAAGAGGGAAGAGAAGGGAAGGGAGGGAAGGGAAGGGAGAGGAGAAAGGGAAAGAGGAAAGACAAAGAAAAATAAGGAAAGAGAGGAAGGAAGAAAAAAGGAGAAGAAAGAGGGAAGAGAAGGGAAGGGAGGGAAGGGAAGGGAGAGGAGAAAGGGAAAGAGAAAAGACAAAGAAAAATAAGGAAAGAGAGGAAGGAAGAAAAAAGGAGAAGAAAGAGGGAAGGGAAGGAAGGGAAGGGAAGGGAGAGAAGAGGAGAAAGGGAAAGAGGAAAGACAAAGAAAAATAAGAAAAGAGGGGAAGGAAGAAGGAAGAGAAAGGAAAAAAGAAAGAAGGAAAGGAAAGGAAAGGGAAAAGGAAAGGAAGGAGATTATAATGAGAGGGAGGGAGGGTCTGACGGAAATCCTGCCTTAGCACTTGGCCACCATAGGTGGCCCCCCATGAGTGACATCGAGCTGGCCACGCCCACCCTGACCATGCCCACTCCGCCCCCCCCCCCC